TTATTTAATATATTTAATAATATTATTTATTTAATATATTATTACATGTTTTCAAAAATTAAACCACCAAACGCAGTTTCAGTTTTTTTTAAAACTGAAATCAATCTCTAAATAAAACTACCAAACGCATTTTTAGAAATAATTCAAAAATGAAACTAAAAACGTTTTCATTTTCATTTTCGTACAGAAAATAAAAACGTTTTGGAACCAATTCCAAACGCACCCTCTGTTTCCGAATTCTTTTTTTACAAACTGATATTTTATTTTATTTTTTTTCCATTTTGGTTGCTTAAATGGATGTTGTTGTTTGATAATGATTATGTTATTTTTGCTATATTTATAATAGTCTGAAAATTTTGCTAAATTTTAAATTAAGGTATGAAATTTTGTCATGGGGTGTAATTATCACTAAATTTTTTCTTGAAAAATACCTTGTCAATTTTGGGTCGGCCGTCAGGCTTTAAGGCTGGGCCGGGCCGGGCCAACCCTCCTCCTCTTAGGACTAACCCATTTCGTAATGATCAAAAAAATCTTGATATTAATTTGTGTATTTTATGTAATTAAATTAAGGATATCCCAAATAATGCATGATTTGTAACGAATGGTTTATGGAATTAATAATATTATTCTAAAATTTTATATAAAAATTTTTATGTTAAAATTTTTATATGTTATGATTCAGTCGATAATCATCACCGCAATTTAAGGTGGGAGAAATTTTAATCCGAATATGTCTCGCAATTCTAGTTATAAGAATTTCTGAATATAACACAGTGTTAGTAGTGTTTTGAAAAGAACTCTAATAATTAAAGATGCCCTTAATCGCCTATTAAGAAAATCGATGTTATTCGAGCCGCGTTTTTTGTGATACTATAAACTAGACTTGAGAATTGACATTGTCAGTTATTACGTTTTACAATAAATTAAGTCAAGTTTAAACTCATATTTCATTTTATTCTAAAACAAATTTTAAAGTTTTGAAATAGTTCAAATTATTAAGCGATTTAAAATCTAAAGCAGTAGCAGTTCCTTCTAAAAATAGTGTTAGACCGTGGTTTTAACTAGTGGACTGAAAACCTGTCGAAAAACAGATCCAGAAACTACTGTTAGTTTAAGTTTAATCTGTTAAAGGAATCTATTAGTGAGAGACAAATATTTAAATAGAGTTGACCTTATTTAAAAAAGAAATTCCAAGTTATGATGAGGAATATTCCTTCTCTCTCTCCCACTTGGTGTAGGCGCCCACCACTAAGCATGATTAAGCAAATTTTTTTTTTCCAATTAGCTAATGTAAGTGGCTTTGATTAAGTGTTAAGTGAGTTTAACCCCTTTGTCTATATATAGCCTCATTTTAGATAATAAGTCAAACAATTAGCATGCCTTGTTTGGTTAAACAAGTGATGAAAAGGACATGAATTTATTTTGGAGTTGGTTTGGGGCTCGTGGACTCGTGAATGCTCTGTTTCTGAATTCTTTTCTTACAAACTGATTTTTTTTTTTTCCCTTTTTGGTTGCTTAAATGGATTTTTTGTGTGTGTTAAAACGTGCATATTGGCGATTCGCTTGTATTCCATTGGGAGACAAGTAAAGCGTTAGGCATGTGTTTCATATTGATCTATCAATTGTGCAGTTTTTTTTTTTTTTTTTCCCTCAAAAATTCCCTACAGAATCGTGCAGTTGGAGAATTTTCTCATAGATGAATTTGGAGTGTTAAGGTAAGTCGTTATTACTTGTAGCTTCCAGAAGGTTTTCAGAAGTTGGAGATTTGATGCTATTTTCTGATCAGATTGTTGCCTTTTTTTTTATTTTTTATGTTACTATTGAGCAACTCAAGGAGCAAAAATGGTGGAATTTCGGTCATTTAGTGAGAAGGGTATTCATTGACCAAAAAATAATACATTTACCGATATAAAATGAGTCAGGTAAGCAATTCCGACTAAAAAAATGGATGGATTTATCACCAAGGTGAAGTTAAAAACATTTTATAAATCAGGGGTATAACAGGTAGATTCTAAAATTTAAAGAGCACGTTGACACAAATAATAAAGTTCACACAGAATTTGTAAAAGTTATTCTAAAAAAACCAATCAGAAAAAAAAAACAAAAAAAAAACAATCAACATATAACGATCTACTTAAAATGAATAAATTGACTGCATAAAATGAGGGGTAATCTAGACAAATATCACTTGAAAATGCATACGTCAGAATTTGTATCATTTACTCTTGATTCATAACTTTTTTAATCAAATAATTACACTAACAAAAGTGTATTTATTAAGAATAAGAGGTAAAGATATAAAATTATGCACTCTCAAAGGTAAATTTTCCATTTTTTTCTAAAATGGAGCGGCACTCAACCCAAAGAATGTGCCATTGATGCTCTATGTTTTTTCAATTGCCAGAATAAAAGCCATTAATTCAACCTCAAAGGCATAAGAAATTATAAGAGGAGTACTGTATGGTGATATCTGTAACTGTATTTTAATTTGAATGTTATTTCTTCTTTCAGGAAAAAAAAAAAAGAAAAAGAAAACCTTTTGTAGCAAAAGGATCAAAAGATCACTTTGAAAATTTTCCATATAACAAATATATATCGATAAATCAACATCCATAACAATATCATTCCAAACTCTTTAACAAGTGACAATTTCGTCTTGATCTTTTGCTTTGCAAATTGAAAATGGCTTTCGAATTTCTTTAAAAAAAAGAGCAAATTAAGCTGTCCACAAACACGAAAAACAATTATGATCTGAAAAAACCCTAAAAGAAAAATAATCATTTTACTAGAATGATACCAAGATATCAACATAATAAAATACTAAATTATAACGTACTAGAATAATATCACGTAAATATTAAGAAATACATCATTGTTTGATTTTTGGTGATAAATTGATATCACATAAGATGCTTTTTCTCAAGGGCTTATATTTGTAATTTTGGTAAATTAAAGGAAAAATACGAGTGCCTTTCTCCCATTATTCTGTATGCGTTTCTTCTTTCATAAAACTTAAGGGCAGCATGCCCCGCATACATATATATTTACTGCAATAATATGGTATATATGCCAATCAAATTTTACTCATTACTAGATATAGATATAATGCAAAGGGTATCCATCTATCTATTAGATATAGACTTATAGGATAGATATAGATATAGATATATATATATATATATAATGCAAAATATGACTTTAAATTCCACTTGACTTGAACAAAACCTAAGCTCTCGGAGTGTACAACCATACTGCTCTTCCATCCAATTGTTGTGTTGGCCTCGCATTTGTCTCAAATCCCTGCAAAAAAAAAAAAAAAAAAAAAAAAAAAAAACCCAAAATTTTTCCACTTTAGAAAAACTTTTGCACATCGTATAGATGATTTATGTATTTCTTACAATAACAAAGGGCACAATGCAGATGGAGAAAACGACTCTCATTTTGAAGTGAATTTAGGGGTAGGCAGATGAAATCAAATGCGCTCGGTCATAATAAAAGGTGGTTCTATTCACACTCTCTCTCTTACTCTCTACACGCTTCTTCTAAATACACACCGTACATAATTTTGAAAGAATTAAATTTATTTTTTATGCACCCCTATTATTTTAAGATTACCCTTAACTATTTTTATAAAATAATTAATTCTTATCCACTTTAATTTTCTTTTCACACCCACTATTTTTTTTAGTTTGTTATTTAAGTGGTATTATTTCTCTATCCCTTTATATCTTTTTTTGTTCTTTTTCTGTTGAAATTTTAGGTGTGATGCCTTTTAAAAAACAATAGAAGATGAGACGGGAAAAAAGTAAATCTAACTTTATAAAAAATGAAATAAGGAACAGAATAAAATGATTAGTCTTTACAAATAAAATACAAACTTGGAATGAAAAAAAAAAGACAAAATAAAAATCGTCATACAACCAATAGCAAAGAAAATTTAACATTATGTCAATGCAACTTTTTGGAATAATAATTTAAAGGTGAAAATTAGAGGCTTTTCTATAAATTTTAAAATAACAATTTATAATTTAGGATATAACATGTGAGTTGTGTGAAGAAAGATAAAAACTATATAATTAGTTTTTTTTAAATTAAATTTAATTACATAATTAAATATGTCATAATTGTCCTTTTTTTTGTCATTGTTTGTGAGAGTCTTTTTGTCGTAAGAAAATTTAAGGTAAATGAGAGTGTGGAAAGTAAAAAGAAGTGTGTAAATAGAATCATCCTTTGAAAAAACATTTCCATTTTGATGGAAAATTAGGCATGGAAAACCCATATAATAAAAGACTTAGTAAAACAAACTAAATAAACAAATAAAGAAAAAGGAAAAGATAACCTGCTCACTGAATTTGCTCTTGAATAAACACATAGCAAGTGCCAAAATAATTATTCAAGAATAATGTTAAAGATCACAAATTATCTGCTATTTTGTTTTTAGTTTAATATGGTATATGAATTATATATTTTCAATTAGTCAAATATATCATTCTAGAAGTAGATCACAAATTAGAAAACACATTGTTTGTTAAAAAAAAATACTAATAAACTAACATGAGACTATTATATGTTATTTATTATGTAATCCCAAATCCGAAATGCTTACATCATGGACAGCTTGCCTTAATGCATGGACTTGCTCTCTTGAAGCTGTACGGACCTGTACAAGACTAGTATATGACTAAAATGCACCTATAGAACAAGTAAAAATAACCAAATATATTAGAGCCCGTTTAATTCGCTGATTCGAGATGTAATTTTATATGAAAGTTTTTTACTGTAGTAAAAGAGTTAAATATGACGGTTTCTGAGAGTTTTTTTACTGTAACAAAACTCGAATCGATAAAATGAACGAGACTTTAATTAAGAAGATAGCATGTTGAGTGAAGGACCTTTTTGACAATTGTCCAAATGACACCTTCTGTGCATGGAGGAACTGTAAGTGAACCAATGTATCTGTAGTACTTTCTGCTTCCAAACTTAATATCTCCTGGATTGACTATCCCCAATTCTCTCTCTTCATGGCTAATGGATTTTATGTGCTCAAACAGCTGCCATAAGAGGTAATAAAATACTATTAAATAAGGAATCTATATTCGTCTAATTATCTGCTTACAACTAGATTAATTATAGTGAGGACTAGTATTGAGTTCATATTTTCTGACACGATTATTAAACGGATTGATATGAACACAACCCGTGAATACGAATTCCCGCCTTTCAAATCATGCAATTGTGCACTGTAAGGGAACAGATGAAGGAAAACCATCCACATACCCTTGTAAGAAATGGGTCAGGATGGCCGTATTCATAGACAATCGCAATAACAGCTATCTCTCCACTAGAGCTCTTGTGAATAACGTGAAGCTCCAATTCAAACCTGACAATAAGGAAGTTTTGTAAAAAGAAGAAAAGAAATGTATTGTGTAATGAATTAAGAGCCATATATATTTTGTTTGATCAGATATACTATAGTCTAAAATAAATAAATAAACAAAAAAACCTTGTTCCATTGAAAGTGTGCTCAGAGGGTGAATGCCAATGACATTGTAGAAGAGCATAATCAGTCCCATTAATGTTGATTTTTCCTGCATCTCCTTTCCACTTCACCTGAGAAGACATCCAATTCGATATAAAAAAATGTCATTTAACAGAAGTGTTATTAAATCTTCTGATGCCTGTTTTTCGCAACTTTAATGTGGTCTAATCATCAGTTAATCAATCATCATTATAACTTCAACTAGCATTCTTGGATTCATTGTATGATGTAGTTGGAGTTTCAGGGTTAGTTTTGAAAATGTTGGAACTAAAAACTTATTTCGTCCATCAGAAAAGTTATAATTTAGGAAGAGTAACACAAGTCATTACTTGTTTACAGCTGCTTTTATTTTTTCTTATATGGGATATTACATGTATCAAGTATTTACTGATACAATTGATTAGTCATGTTATAATTGGCTAAAATTTTCAAGTTTGCTCAAGTAGAGAATTCTATGATATAGTTTTAAACGTTCGAATTCTCGTGAGGATGTCTGGTATAAGGTAATCTTAAGATGAGAATAGAAATCTTCTCATATTCTCATATTTGGTATAAAAACTGTCATTTTTAGGACGTATTCGGTAATGTTTTCAAAATGGTTATCCAGCCACAATTTGCGAAGTTCCCCGCCAACCGGACCCCAAGCTCGCCTCCACTCGCGGCCCTTCCAGGTCTCATGCACTATTCAGATTGGATTATGGAGCTTCAGTATTTTTTTTCAAAAAGGAGGAAAAATACCCACCAAACCCAAAACGTTAATGGGTTATGAGAAAAGAGAGATGTGGCTTGTGTTGATTTTGGGTGTTTCTAGATTCAGAGGTCTCTGTTGTTTCAAAGGCAGTGGTGGTGATGATCAGCAAAAAGAGAACGCATTGGTGGTGATGGCCATGGGTTGGTGGTGGTGTTGGGATCTCATTCATAGATGTATAATTATAAATTAGAATTATTTTTAATTTATGAGAAAAAATATTGTATTGAGTCACAAATTATAATATAAATTCACCAATTAAATGCACACTTAAACTGATTTTTTGTTTAATACAGTTTTTTAGTTTATAAATTTATTTGTTTAACTTTTAGTTAACTTTTAATTTGAAAAAAAAAAAAAACGTTCTCATAATATTTGAATAACAAATCAGGGTAGCATGATGATATTATTCAATTTGATAAGATTTGACTAATTTAAAATCCTAGAAACTATTATTTTTAAGAAAATAATATTACATTATTATGCACTACTAAACACAGTAAAATTATATTTTTGAGAATCTGAGAGTAGATTACTATACGTAACCAAACGTGATAATATAAGTTTTTTTGAGAATTATATTACCTATTATTACTTTTTTAATAATATGATTCTTATTAATTACCGCATACCAAATGCCTCTCATAAAATTTCATTAAATTGTTATATATATTTTTTTTAAATTTATTTTGATTCTGATGTGATGTGATATGATGGTTTAAAATTATGGCCTCTTTAAGTGTTTTTTTAGGACCCTATCAAAGAATTCTCCATAATCTATCGAGAGTAAACTGATAGCTTACCGTAATATCATGTCCCCTGTTCTTGATAGTAGCAGGAGCTGGTTTGTAATCCCTTTTCAATTTCCCAAGACTGGGGAAAACTTGCACTCTTTGGTCAAGAAGGTCAATAGGAGACTGAAGTTTTCCCTTGTCACAAAGTTGCCAATGTGGATCAACTTCACCCCATTCTTTTGGTCCTTTACCACTTCCCTCCACATAAGTAAATGGACTTTCATCATCTAATTATATCACAAAAATCCACAGTTAAGACTTTCCACTGGATTTGCAATTATGCTTATTCAGTTCAAATAAGAAAAGTACCACTAATTAAATCCCAATTCAGATTTGATTCTTGTGAAAACTCCAGTAAAAACAACAGACACAAAGCATCTTTCTGACTTTAAGAAAAAAAGATGATTAGTCATCCTAGGAGTATAAGTGGACAAAAGCAAGAAATCAATACCTTGTTCATTTCACCGATTCGAGTTTAAAATTTAAGAGGACGTTTAGAAGGGGGATTCGGCCCCTGATTCGAATCATAGTTTGTGGTTTGCTACAGTGTTTTCTCTCATAAAAAATACACGTAAATCGAAAATAATTCTAATCCATGAACTAAACGTCTCCTAAGTTTTGCTACAGAAAAAAAGCTCTAAAAAACAGTCATATCTAACTTGTTTACTACGGAAAAAAGCTCTCACATAAAATCACATCTCAACTCAAATTAAAAACTCAAATCAGCGAACTAAACGGGACTCAAATGTTTTTTAACTTTGATTTCTCACCTAAAAAAGAAGTAAAAACAGTTGACTTAAACCCTTTACAATTTACAAATTTAGAAAGCAAAGAAGCTAATACTTTCCTTATTCATAAGCATTAAGAGAGAGTGGGGAATAAAGAGGATTCAAAAACAGAGAGAGTAAGGCTACAATACCTTGCACTTTTTAAAGATGATTTATACTGTCTAAATCTTAACCATTAAATAATACTTAAAAATGAACTTTTGCTGAATTACTTAAAAATAACCTTATGGTTGAGTTTTTATTCTTAAGCCAAGGAGATAATACTTTATTCTCAAGCATTAAAAAGGAGACAGAGGGCATTCAGAAATCATAACCATAGAGTAAAACTACAATATATATCACATTTTTAAGATGCATGTGCAGTCTAAATTTCAGCCATTAAATAAAACTTAAAAATGATCCTATCGTTGAATTTTTTGAATTTTTAACTTAACTTTTATCAAGTGATGACTGATCATTTTGTTTCATCCGCTTAGATTTGTTTTCTCTCCCCACCTCATCAATTACCCAAAAATATGAGGTAGGAACATACGAAAACTTTGGAATATACTGTGGTTGTTTTGAAAGAACTACATTGGGCAAAAATAGATCATGGAATAGGGAATTAACTACTCATACACGTGATAATGCGTCCCACCCGGACCACTTTTCTTCTTTTTTTAACCCCCACCATTTTGACCACGTTCAATACATTTAAACAAATTGATACTCTTTTTTTTTTTTTTTTTTTTTTTTTAAATAAAAAAAAATTTAAAAAAATTTATTTTTTTTTTTTTTTTTTTTTTTTTTTTTAGAGAATTTCTCTAGTGAGTTTCCATATCTATTAATTTTTAACTGTTAAATCTTGTTAAAATTACATTAAATTAAAAAGTATACTAAATAGATAATTTTTTATACATATTTAACAGTTGAAAAATAAACTTTGTAATCATAAATCGGTTTTAAATATGAATGGGTTTTCAAACTTTTGGATTTCTAGCCGGCAGAGAGACAGAAAGAGAAAGAAATAGATAACGGTCACTAAAGACTACCAAATAAGTGAAAAAGATTACTGGCGTCTCCAAGGAACCAAAACAACGAAAAAGAGGAAAAAAAAAAAATTTTCTTCCTTTACTCGTTCATATTAGTGAAAAAAAGTTTCCATATTTAGTGAGCAAAATAGGTGGTAAAGTTCATGAAATAAGGTTATTGCAAGAAGCGCTTAATTATTAAAAAGATGAAATTTTTGGGTCTCACTGAACTAATTTCCATATTTCTGTATCAGCAAGGCATCAAATTCTTATTCATCTGCTTGATTTATTCATTTCAAATATATTGTCCTTGGAACACTGAGGCAAATTAAGAATGAAGCAAAAGCCAAAACGAAATAGAATAACTGCAAAATTAACTTAACACCTTAAAAGCAAAACAAAACAAAACAAAAAAACATTGTATATATGATCTTCATGAATCATGATCAACAAATAACCAAAAAAAGAGAAAAAAAAAAGACTTACCAACTTCAAGAGCTCTGCAAATGGAGAAATGGGAATAAAAGGACAAGAGAATGAGAGAAAGCAGCAAGAGAGAGACAGACATTATGGAACTACTTTTGAAAATGTTTGAGAGAGAGAGAGAGAGAGAGAGAGAGAGAGAGAGAGGCTACTGAGATTTGAGAATTTATGGACAGACACTCTTGACAATATTGAGGGACAAGTTTTTTTTTTTTTTTTTTTTAGCTGTTGAAGATTAAAGATTGCTTGGTGGTTTTCTCCACGCGCAATAATGGAGTGTGTGAGCTTATCATTTATACAGCTTATTATGATATAATAATGACATATATTTGTTTTAAGGTTTGTCTCTTTGTCTACCAAGTACCCACCAAATCTCCGTCCTTATCATGTTGCTTTCCAGCCCTTCTTCTTGTCCCATGTATTGCTATTAGCCACCGTTTCAACGTCACTCTCTCAGTTACATTCTTTTATCGCTCTTTATATTAATTATTTAACACGTAAATTTTATTAATATTATTTGAATAAAAAATAAAATAATAGAATCTACGTATCCAATAGTAAGGCGCATGATGTTGTACTCTTTTTTATGAAAGAATATACATAAAAAATTGTGGTTTCCAAGAACTACCATATACATATAAAGAATTTTATAACATAGAAAAAAAAACTATTAGTAGGACTTTGTCTTGTAACGTCATATTGGTATAAAAAAATTATTTATTATGCATATTTTTTTTTTACTTTAATATGATTTTGATTATATCAATAAGGATATCCTACCATAAAAGATTATTTTTTTTTCATTTTTATACTAAAAAGGCTAAAAATTTAGACAATATTATATTTTAGAGCTGACTATATTTATACTTCCAAATTTCTAATTTAACTTTTTATCTTGCATCAACCAACAGTCTATTTTGACCACTTAAAAGACCTAAATGCCATCAATAAATTTTTTTTTTAAAAGGAAGGGAAAATTGTAAAATATGATGATATTTGGATATTTTATAGTGAAAATCAACTCTTGACTGAAAATAGGTAAGCATTTAATATAAATTTGAAATTTATAAATGTAATACAGTTCAAAATATAAAGTATACGTTTTTTAACATTAAAATGCATGGTATAAAGATTTAAAAAATACCATGAAAAGTTCCCATATTTAAATCATATTACATATTACAATAACTCATGAGTAAAAGGAGTAAAGTTGTTAAATAATACAGAAATGAAATTAAAAAAAAAATTAATGGGGTGCATGTTTGGAAAAATAAAATTTTAGTAGGGGTAAAATTTAAAAGTTTAATTTTTTAAAGGGTCAAATTTTATTTTTAAAAGAAAAAAATCAGCTGCCCCTACTTGTCCTTGAATAATTCCATCAATATAAGTGTCAAATCTGAGTGTAAAGAATGTTAAAAAGAGTGATAAAAAAATGATGCTAGCATTTATATTAATAGCCTTAAAACAGGCTAATCTTCATTAAACATGCTCCACCTGTACAAAGAAACAGATTGCTGCATTTTCAAAAAGTAACCGTTCTTCATCAAATTTTTTTTAGACATTTTATCCTTTTTTAATTTCCTCTGTTGTGTTAATGAAGCATGGCTCATATTTGGAGATTGCATAGCCTCATTCACTTTACGAATTTGAGTTTTCAATTTTTAATTTTTATAATAAAAAATTCTCAAAAAATATCACATCTAATTTTTTCTTCTACAGTAAAATATTTTAACCGCCTTATAAAGCCAAGTATGTGCAATTACTTGGTCAGTTAAAAAAAACAAAAAGTTCAGTTACTTGGACCGAAGGAATTCTTCAATGTAATTATAATATTTCTCGCTCACATAAGACAAAAAAATAATAATAATAATAAAAAGCCACCATAAGAACTTTAAAGGTTCTCATCATTTTAAGGTATAATCTTTATCAACGAATTTCTGTGATTCTAATTTTTATTTTTAAAATCTGGTTGTTGAATCATGAAATAGTATATTAAATTAAACTTTAACTTTATTGAAAAATAGTACGATAATTCTGATTGATTTGAATTTGGATGAGATGATAATATTTTATATGTGTTTTTGAGTGCCAAATTAAAGACTTTGCCTATATTATTTATGTATTTTTATTTGTCAGAGATCATTTGCATACATGTCATGGTATAATTTTTAAATTTAAACTTGACATATAGATAGATATAGATTATAGATCTTGTAGACATGGACAGAGCTAGGTAGTGTTGATAGTAGAGATAAGTTAATTTTGGTCAAGCCTGTATTGATGGAGAAAATCTTAAAATTTAAATAATGTAATTTACATATTTAAATGATTTATATCATGTTTGATTTTTATGATTAAAGAATTTATGGAATTAATATAAATATTTTAAAATTCTATAGTAAGTTTTAAGCCAAACTCACTTTTCGTGATTAAATAGTTCGGTTAATAATTCTCACCGCGATTTAAGGCGGACGGAATTTTAATCTAAAAATAACTTGAGAATTTTAGTTATAAGAACTTTTAAGTGCAGTACTGTGTTAATAGTGTGCCGAGAAACACTCAAACTCTCAAGAATTTCTTAATTGTCAATTAGTTAAATCAGAGTTACGTGAGTAGCGTTTTCGATAAAAAAAAAAATGTTATCTAAGCTCGGGAATTGACAATGACTATGTCATTATTGATGCAAAAATATATAAAAGAATCAAGTTTAGAGTTTATTTAATTCAGAAATAATTTTAAGATTTAATACAATCTAATTTTAATACACGATCAAGAATTTAAATCAATATCAAATTATTCGGAGATTGATAACGGACTATAAGTGAGCAGTAGAAAAGGACTAGTCAGAAAATTAAATTTTATTGTCGGCTAAATTAATCACCTCCGGTCAATACAAATTATATCTGTTTAGAGAGAATCTTTTATTAGGACTTTTGAAGTCATTAATATTTATTTTCATATTTAAATTTTTTTTTTTTTTTAGAATGTCTGTTTTTGTTAACTGACTCGATTCTGTATATATAATTTGTACTTGTATAAAGCCATTGATAGTGCTTTTTGCTAATGAATTTTCTCTCCTCCTAGTTTGTAGATGTAGGTATATTTCTCGAACTACCTTAAATATTTGTATTACCTTCTTCCCTGTATTTTCTAATTTAATTTTTTAATACTTACAAATAATTTAAGGTTTTTCTTCTATCCCTCTATTGGAAAGGTCCCTCCAATGTAACATATATATATGAAAGACATAATACGATAATTATTGAACGTAATATTGGCATTGGAGAAGTATAACACTAATGAATGTAGTCATTCAAAAATTATGTTACACCTCTCCAATAAAAATATTACCGTCAATAATTGTCGTGTTACATATTACATTCTACATATTACATCAGAAAGACCTCCCACCCTAGAGGGACCGTAGAAGTATTAGATTTGATCAAAATCATATTAAAATGTAAGAAAAAAATATAAAACTGATAAAATTCTTTATAAATTGTATATTCAAAACAATAATAACGTGTTTGTGTTTATTAGGTTTTTTAATTGATCTTATTTTAGGGCTGATTAGTCCTCCTATTGATGAAGGCAAAATGTAAATAATTGGTTTGCTACTAGTGGTGTTTATTGGGAATGGGTTCATATACCTCTTTTTCCTATTCTCTTTTGTGTTCCTCTAATAATAACAGTCACGTCATGAGTTTTTAATTGACGTGATAAGAAATCTTTTAATTGACGTGTCACAATATAACTAGAGAGATGAAAGGAGACATGAATAAGAGGACACATAAATTGGTTCATGTTCATTGACATCCTTTGTTAAAATTATAATTAAATCATTTAGCTGAATCTACACCTATTGGAATTAAATAGCCAAATACCCTCTCACGAAAAAATGATAATTTTGACAAATACTACTTAAAAGTGCATGAGTCAAGATTTTTACTATTTACTCTTGATTCATAACCTTTTTAGTTACATTAATAAAAGGGTACTTATCAAGAGTAAGGGGTAAAGATCTATACTCATGCATTCTCAAGGGTAAATTCTCCATTTTTTCTATAAAAAAAAAAGAAGGAAAGAAAATGCTTAAATAGGTTGCTAGATGCATCTTTAATTCAATTGTTTTACATTTCAATGACAAGATTTAAAAGTCTTTTTTAATTTCTATTGGACAAATTTTAAAATTTAAAATTTATATGGTCATCCAATGAAGGCAAAAGTTTAATTTAGGATGAGTAACTTACTCGATTATATGATTATAATTTGTATTTATATGGAACTTATTGATAGTATTTTTTGTTAGGAGTTTTTCTTTTTGGTGGATTTTACGGACCTATGTTAAATCTTTTATGTTTCTCTTCTCTCTCCTTCTATTTTTTTCTTTAATTTTTACTACCAAGTAGTAGGCTTGCCAAATTCTTTGGAGAACGAATAGGCTCTATAGTTTTGTTGACAGGAAATAAGCTTTTATATATTAGCTAGGGCGTGTGGACGTTTGGTTCATAGATTCAGAATCATGATTCAGAATTATTCTCATTTTACGTGTGTTTTTTGTGAGAGAAAAATACTGTAGAGAATCATGATTCATGATTCAAAATCAATAATGAATACATGAAACAAACATCTAGTTTTTTCAATAAAATTGGCAATAAATTTTTGAAAGGAATATTCGGCACATTTCTTCAACTGGGGAAGATACCATCCGGTTGAATGGGTAAAATTTCAAGTATGCCAAGACTGAAAATATGGTGTTAAGTGGAATTGAAGGTGGTTTTTACAGGGGAAAAAAAATTACTTATATGCTGGTGAAAATACACACACACACACGTATATGTAACATTGTCTTTGTGTCTTCTTGCCATATGAAAAGGCTCCAACTTGATGTAATTTCAAGCCCTTTGATAAAGGAAAACAACACTAATGCTAATTAGGATGAGGTGACATTTATCTTAGATGAGGGACTAAAAAATAAAAGTAATGAAGGATTAACTTTAAAAAGAGTTCGGTCGTGTTTAGAATTGATTCCGTTTTTATTTTTTACGTTTTTTAAGAAAGAAAAAATGAAAACGTTTTTAAAACAACGTTTGACACAATAAAGACAAAAAACAGAAATTAAAACGATTTTTTAGTTTAGTATAAAATGAGAGAGAAATGAAAAATGACTTTTTTTAGTCGTTTTTCATTTTTATTTTTGTTTTCTCTTCTCTCGAGCAGCGAGAGAGAAAGAGAGACATTAATGTATTTTTTTACAATGAAAACAATCTCTTGATAAAACTACCAAACGCATTTTTAAAAATGATTTCTGTTTGAAATTGAAAACGTTTTCATTTTTATTTTCATACAAAAAACAAAATCATTTAGAACAAGTTCCAAACGCATTTTACCACTTAAATTACATAAAAGCTTCCTAAACACTCCTAAATTAACTTATTTTCATAAAACCCCACAAATAATTAATTTTATATCAACTTGCTCCCTAATTTTTTTAATAGACTCAGAGGTTAAGTTGACTTAATAATTTTGAAGATTTATGAAATTACAATTAACATTACGTTATCATTTTGTTTGTATTATAGTAAAAAAAAAAAAAAAAAAAGGTGTTTTGAATGATTTTGTTTAGTTTATGATGTAAAAGTGAACCTTTTTAAAAAATTTGTGGGCATGTTGAATTAACTAGGTATGTAGTTTAGGAGCATTTATAAAATTAATTCTATCGTTGAAAGAGATTTTTATGTTTCCTCTCCAAAAAATAAAATTTACTTATTAAAAACACAAATGAAAGTCACATGCAGAAAACGATAAAAAGATTAACCCCCATTTTTAATTTGACTCATTATGCATCAGATTTTAAAGTTTAATAAACTAATTACAAAAACTAAAGAAGAGTAAAGAGAGGTGTGTAAATAGAACCACCTAATTTTTAAATGTAGAGCTAAACACGTACATATCACGTGGTAAGTTACCTTCCTACCTTGAAAAACCCTTGGAAATTATCTCATGTAACTTTATTCTGTTGAAGAAAAAAAATATCAACAATTTACCTTAGTAAATCATTAAGAAATCGACCTAGTAAAACATATGAACTATTTTAAAAGGAGTTCAAATTTTCTATCATTTATACGAAAATCAACTTCTTTTCTAGATAAATATTACGTTTTAATTCTATCCTAAAGGGCTTATTTAGAAAGTGTATTTGAACCATGATTTTAGTTGTGATTCAAATTTTTTAAGAGAGAATTATTGGTGAGGATTTTTTTATTTAATTTTTTTTGTGAGAGGAAAACACTGTAGCATAATCATAATTTAAATTTTGAATATATATACCATACAACTCCTAAATTATAATTATTGTCTAATTATGCTCCTGAACTTAATATGTGGAATTTTTTTAGAAAAAATAAACGGGATCCTTATCACTCTTAATTTATGTTAAAATGTTAAATCCTTACAAAAATTTAATATTTGTCAATTGATTTTAATAAATTATTGACTAATTAATCATCACTTACCTTTGAATATTATATAACCATTTTCAAATCACGTAATTATTAAATTTTTAAAAAGGTGATTTTCTTTTAATTTGACAAAACTAGAGAATTTAAGGCCGTGTTTGAAATTGATTTCGTTTTTGTTTTTCACATTTTTCAAAAAAAAAAAGGAAAACGTTTTCAAAACGGCGTTTGGCGCAATAAAGATAAAAAATATAAATAAAAAAGATTTTTTAGTTTAGTGTAAAATGAGAAAAAAATGAAAAATGACTTTTAGTCGTTTTTCATTTTTTATTTTCGTTTTCTCTTCTCTCGAGCATAGAGAAAAAGACAGAGACATTAATAAATTTTTTATACTAAAAATAATCTCTTAATAAAATTACTAAATATATTTTTAAAAATTATTTCTATTTAAAATTAAAAATATTTTTATTTTTATTTTTATATAAAAAAAATAAAATTATTTTAGAATAAATTTTAAACACGCCCTAAAACTTGCTTTTTTGAAAGAAATTTTTTGCACATATCCTTTTTCTTTTATTTAACCAAAAAAAAAAAATCAAAGTAGGAGCTAAAAATGCGATTTTGATAATTTGTAGGGGTAGTACAGATATTTCAACCCAAAGGAACTGCGTAGGGTTAAACCTAGAAGAAAAACAAAAGCCTCTTTTTCCAATCGTTTCTCTTCTCTCACCCAACCACATCTAGGGTTTGCTTTGCTCGCTTGCTCTCCACTCTCTCCAGCCATGGCGGACTACGACCTGACGCCGCGCATCGCGCCGAACCTCGACCGCCACTTGGTCTTCCCCTTGCTGGAGTTTCTCCAGGAGCGCCAGCTCTACCCCGACGAGCAGATCCTCAAGTCCAAAATCGAGCTCCTCAACAAGACCAACATGGTCGACTACGCCATGGACATCCACAAGTCCCTCTACCACACCGAAGACGTCCCTCAAGGTCTGTTTTTCTTGATTGTGTTTGGATTCCGTGAATGTGCGATTCCAATTTTGTATAGAAGTGAATTTTTCGTTAGGGCTTCGCTCGATTCTGCGAATTTGCGATTGTGATTGCGGATAAATTGAGTTTTTTGAGTTTTTTTTTTCTTGTGTTTGTTGCAGATATGGTGGAGAGGAGGGTTGAGGTTGTGGCCAAATTGAAGGCGTTGGAGGACGCCGCGGCGCCGCTTGTTACGTTTTTGCAGAATCCGGCTGCGGTTCAGGAGTTGAGAGCTGACAAGCAGTACAATCTTCACATGCTCAATGAACGTTATCAGGTTTCTTCTCTTCACCTTTTCTTTGTTTTTTCTTTTGAATTTTTATTTTTAGGGATTTTAGGTATTTATCTCAACTTGTATGATTCTGGCTCCTAGCGTATGTTTGGATAACTTTTTTTTTCCGATTGATTAAACAAGTTTTGTACTTTGATTATTATTTAATACGAATTATACATACTACAGAGAATTAGAGGAACCCGTTTCTTGTATTTGCAATCCCAATTTTGAAATTACACTTTGCATTGTCAATATCGAAACGGTTTTGGAGATTTGCGAAAATCTAGATTTTTCGATGTTAGACTATTTCTGGTATGTGTCATGGTATGTTGGAGTTAGCTTAGTTTCTGGTGTTTTCTAGTAGAACTTGATGTTGTATGTGTAAAATAATGTTGCTGTTTGACAAAGTTTTTCATCCTCTTTACTGCCGTATGTTGTAGCGGGAATTTAATGGATAAGGATTTGTTTTGACAGATTGGCACCGAGCAGATAGATGCATTATATCAATATGCGAAATTTCAGTTTGAGTGTGGAAACTACTCTGGCGCTGCCGACTATCTTTATCAGTACAGGGCTTTGTGCACAAACAGTGAAAAGAGTCTGAGTGCATTATGGGGCAAGTTGGCAGCTGAGATTTTGATGCAAAACTGGGATACTGCTCAAGAAGAGCTTACTCGGTTGAGAGAAATTATTGACTCCAAGGTCTGCACCCCCTCCCCTCTCTCTCTCTCTCTCTCTCTCCCACCCCAGGCACATTCTTGTTGATAAGCACATTTTATTTACTTCCTTTTCTAATTATCAAAATACTATTGTGGATGCAGAATTTCAGTTCACCTATGAATCAGGTGCAAAGCAGAATATGGCTAATGCATTGGAGTCTCTTTATATCTTTCAACCATGATCAAGGACGAACACAAATAATTGATCTATTTTTTTCAGACAAGTATGTCCTCTGCACCTATCCATTTATGTCACTTTAACTTGTACTTTTCTCCATATTCTCAAATTTTGTCAAGCTATGAATGGCTTCATTAGGCCATCTAAATGCTTTTTCATTTTGTAATATTGGTAAAGTTATTTTTTTTTGTTGCCTCTAATGAGAACACAACTTGTTAATATTTTGCAATAACTTGTGTGCTTTCATATTCATATATTCTCATGTGCTTTTTTTTTCCTCCTGAAACCTGATGACGTTTTGGTTCATCATAATCCTGCCAATATGGAAGTATTTCCTTATTTTTGCATAGGTAAATTTCCTTGGTAGCGCGTTCACTGATGATATTTTTCTTTAATTTTTCCAGGTATCTAAATGCCATTCAGACCAATGCTCCCCATCTTTTACGTTACTTAGCCACTGCTTTCATTGTTAACAAGAGAAAGAGGAATCAATTTAAAGATTTTATAAAAGTTATTCACAAGGAGCAACACTCTTATCAAGATCCCATTACAGAGTTTCTGGCGTGTGTATTCGTCAATTATGACTTTGATGGAGCACAAAAGAAGATGAAAGAGTGGGAAGAAGTAAGTTCTTTAGTAACAATTTTCTATCTATCTTCTGTGTATGTGTGTGTGTAGTATTTTAGCAACAATTTTCAACTGCCCTTAGGAGTTAGTGTAAGTGTTTTTATCCCCCTTTCTTTGGTTATTGGGCCATAATATAATAAAGAGCTAGGATTCTCTTTCTGATTATAAGTAGTGTTTTTTTTTAGATGTTGATGGTTTGGGTATTGATTACTGTTTTGACTATGTAGGTAATACTGAATGATCCTTTCCTTGGAAAGAGAGTTGAAGAAGGCAACTTCTCTACTGTACCGATGAGAGATGAATTTCTTGAAAATGCCCGACTGTTTATCTTTGAGACATATTGCCGTATCCATCAGCGGATCAGTCTGGGGTATACAACTGACTCTGTTTCAATTGTGTCAATACTATGGACCTGGTTTGATTGTTACAAAAAGTTGTTTCTGTTATTCTTTTCCTGTTGGTTAAACTTGAAAGTATATATTGTTTCATTCATTCTTGAGTGTGCTGAATGCTGATATTTTTTGACAGAGTGCTAGCCGTGAAATTGAATTTGAATTATGAAGAGGCTGAGAGATGGATTCTTAATCTTATTCGAAACTCAAAGCTTGATGCCAGGATTGACACAAAGGAAGGAACCGTCGTCATGGAACCAAATCAACCCAATGTGTAAGTTTTATGGGTGCAGACTTCTGTGTCCAAAATCATTTATGTTTTCTAGTTTATTTTCTTGATCCACTTTCTCTTCTGCCTCTTAACACTGGTCCACAAGTTCTGTTCATGATGTTTCTTTTGATGTTTGTTTTTTTTTTTTTTTTTTTTTTTTTTTTTTTTTTTTTTTTTCTAAATTGGCCTTGCATTTTTCCAGGTATGAGCAATTGATAGACCACACAAAGGTTTTACAAGTGCGTACTCACAAGTTAGCCACTCAGATTCTTGAACATGCTCAGGCTGCTGTATAAGTTAGATGGTGAATTTTTCTGAGGATTCATTCTTCGTCGTCTTCAAAATATCCGAAATTTGTTTATTTAGATCAATTGTTGGATTTGAAGTGCGAGCAATTTAAGTGACTAACACCTCTACTGGCAACAGAAAGTTTTGTTTTTGTCAAAGAGATTACAGTTTTGCTCGAGTTCAGATTCGCCAGATAAACATTATTTAGCTTTTGGAGTTCATTTAATTATTATTATTTTTTTTTACCACCTTGATGCAGAATGTTATTATTAAGCTACTTCTCAGTTAATGTGCCTTAAACCCATGTTTGGTAAAGAGGAAAAGAAAGGACATAGATGAGGAAAATATTGAGGAGAGCAATTTTTTTTTTTTTTTTTTCAATCAATGGGTATCAAAATCTTCTACTAATCTCCCATGGCTTCTTCCTTTCAATTTTTCCTCTTAATAAACAAGCTCTAATTGTTTGTTATTGAGCCGTAACTTGAAATGAACTCGCTTTTAGAAAATCTGAAGACTACCCTGTTGCTGTGTTTCTCATTGATGTTTGTCGAAAAAATTCGATTCATTCTCCGTTAGTCTATTCATTGGGGGTCATTGTGCCCCGTAAAGAATTTGAGTCATTTTGGGTAACGTTGTGCCCTTGATTTATGATTATTAAATTAGGTTGTGTTGAAATTATATAAAAATCAAAATTAATATTCAACATACATTATTAACACAATTGAATATATTAATTATTTATATTAATAATGTATATTAAATTCGTAATTCATGATTGCCTCGTTAAAAATCTTACCAAGAAAAATCTAATTAGGATAAAAACTTGACAAGGAAAAAAGAGTGCAATCATTTTGTGCCGAATTATAAATTTTACAAACTTACAAAGTTATACAATTACAAATACAATGTCAAAAGTAAATACATATTTACAAATTACAAATTTACAATTTAATTTGAAGCTGAATGATCGTCTTCAAAATTAAATGTTAATCGATTAAATTCATCGATCCATTCTTGGCTTGCTGGCGAAATTGTATCCTGTAGACGTTGATCGGGCCCGATCCCAATTCTTAATGCAAACCAAGGCTTCAACAATATCCCTTTGCAATGCATTACGGCGTTCTTCAAGTATTCTTCCTGTAATACTGAAGGCTTGTTCGGATGAGATAGTGGAGACTGGGATCGAAAATATATCCATTGTCAATCGAGTTAGGATTGACCAAGTTAATGCCTGTGCCCCCCACCATTGAACTAAGTCAAACGATTCTGCCGTACCGTCAACTACTAAGCCTTCACTGAGGTACGCCATAAGCTCGTTGAAGCTGCCGCCGCCGCTGCCACTGCCACTTGTTGACGAAGATTCACTCCCAACTTCTGTTTGAGCTGTCTTCTTCTTCTTCTTCAACCCGAAAACATTCAAGAATGAATGCGGGTTTTCGTCTAGTTGTTGCGGTTCCTGTACTCTAGGAGGTACTCTAAACCTAATCTCATATTTACTATAGATCGAATATATTTTTTCCTTTATTATTGGATATTGGTCCATACAACTAATGCCTAAAAATTCACCTAAGTTTTCTAAACCTTCTAATTTTAATCTAGGATAAAAAATAGTACCTAAACCATACAACAAAGGCAACTTAGACCAATATTTTATAAATTTCTTTTTCATAAAATGGATAGAAACTGCTAAGATTGGGTCCTCCCTATATTCGCTAAATAAAATACTAATTCGTAAAAGTTCTCCTAAAGCTAAAGGTGATGTTGGGTAATATGTTCTACTAAGTTTTAGAGTCACTTCATGAAACATACCTAAAAATTGATACAAAACTTCGGCAATTTACCAATCATATGCATCTATATGTTCTACTCCTACTTTTGCACACATATAGTTTGTTATAGTATCCTTATAGGGGATGCATTGTTGAAGCATTATGTAAGTTGTGTTTCATCTTATAGGCATATCTAACGCTAATGCTCTAGGAGGTATATTTAGTGCTTATAAGAACCTAAACCAATCTTCTTGTCTTTGGTTACTACCTTGAATCCATGCAAGACTATATCTAATTCTTTTAATGTGATTACCCATTTCTTTTAAACCAGATTTAACAATTAAATTAATTACGTGACATGCACATCATTGGTGAAAAATAAATACCATCACCGAATAAACTTAAATCATTTTTAAAGAACTCAATTACTTTTGTATTGGCACTAGCATTATCTAATGTTATAGCCATTACTTTATCTCTTAATCTAAATTCATCAATTACATTTTAAATGGTATTATATATTAAATATGCACTATGTGATCCTAGAACACATTTAAAACCTAATATTCTCTTATCTAAATCAAATCCTTTAAAGTAATGTCTGGTTACAGCTAAATAATCTTTATTGGCAACGGTAGACCAAATATCTGCCTTTAACGCAATGCACTTGCTAGTCGAGCGTAAAAGGTTTATTAATGCTTCTTTTTCTTTTTTAAATAATTTTAATAAATCTTTTATAAGAGTAGTTTTTGAAGTGAATTGTGCATTATGATTATGTACAACCTTAATATGTCGTTGCCAATTAGGATGCTCTACAAAACTAAGTGGTTGATCTAAAGCAGCTATCATTCGTGCAACTTCCATACAATCTACTTGCGGATCGTATTTCCAAGTGGTTAGACCACCGGTTGCGCGATCAAAAGATAATTGTGTTTGGCGGAGTTTAGGTCTGCCGGATTGGCTAAGCTTTTGAAGACACTTTTCGGAGTATCTTCTCAAGTGTGTGGTGTCGTGAATAGTATCACCTTGTAATTTAGATAAACAATATTTACACTAAGCTATATGTTTAGTGTTACCTTTATTGTCGATCTCCTCAATTATGTCGAAGTGATCCCAAACTGTCGAGGTGCACTTGCATTTCCTCCTAGAGGTTGCAACACTTGCAGACACAGTCGCACTGGCACTCGCCGCTTCTCCACGCCCACCACCATTGTGACCACGACCTCCAGTACGTCCACCAAGGCTCGGATTAGTAGATTCTTGCTTAACAAATTCATTAGTGGGAAATTGTCCTTCTTCCACGTTGTGTTGGGCATCAACGGGAATATCACTATAACCAAAAGGATCCATTATAAAAAAATTAGAGCGATTTGAGAGAGAGAGCTTTAGGATAATGTGATAGTTTTTGAAAAAATTGTAATAGAGATTTGAGAGATTGAGAAAAATTGATAGAGATTGAGAGAAATTGAGTGAGAAAAATATGTGAGGGATGAGGGGTATTTATAGGAAAATTTTTTGGTTAAAAAATTAATTTTTTTTCAAAAAATTCAGGGTGCAACGGCTAGTTTAAGGTTTGGCGGGTTCGGGCGGCAACGGTCAAAAAAACTAGCCGTTGGACGGGTTTTCGGGCAAATCGGGCTTCGGGCGGGTCGGGCATTCGGGCTTGGCCGGAAAAAATCAAAAAAAACTCTGGCGGACAGTGGTTGATGGCACTACATGGCGGCAGGCTCCGGCGTGGTAACCAAATTCGGGCTGCCCGAGGCCAAGCCCGAAAATGTAACTTTGGACGGGCTGGCATATGGTCTGCCCGCTGAGCCCGAAAAATTCAGACAGCAGGCTTACCCGCCGGCCTAAAGTTCCACCACTACATCTAAATATGAATAATACAAAAAGAAAAAAAAAAAGGCATCTTACAATAGAAAACATACCATGCGTGAAATTTTATTTTACTTTATTATAGTTCTTAAAAATCCCAATAATGAAAATAATCTTGAAGTACACTAGGAATGAAAATAACGAAATGCCCGGATTACATAAAAAAGGAGTCATTATAATAATAAACATGACACGAGTGAAAATAAGTAATAACATTATCTTTACCATAAATTCTTAAAAATAATGGTAGTGAAAGTACTCTTGAAGTATTTTAAGAATGAAAAGAACAAAAAATCCGAGGATTGATAGCCTCAATATAACAAAGTTCAAGGGCAGTAAGATGTAGAAAACATACCATGCTTGAAATTAAAATATTTTCTTTATCACAAGTTCTCAAAAATTATAATAATGAAAGTATTTTTCGAACTATAACAATGAAAAGAACAAAAAAATACCAAGATTAACTAAAAAAAAGTAGGAATCATTATAATAATAAACATACCATGCGTGGAATTAATATTTTCTTTATCATAAATACCTAAAGATTATAGCAATGAAAGTATTCTTGAACTACACTAAGAATGAAAAGATTAAAAACATATCAGGTTGCTGGCTAACTAACAGTATTTACAAGAATGAATATCATAATTAATATATAGAAATAAAAAGGTCAATAGAAAGAAAAAATTAATTATCATAATGATAAATTTAAACGTCATTATAAAAAGGATAATGAAAAGTAAATTCTGGAAAACAAAATAGAAAAAAATGAATTGAACAAAAGACATAATAACATATGAATTTAAAAACATTTTTTTTAAAGCAAAGGAGGAAAAATCCTAATTTAAAAACCATATCAAGAATAAATCATTTAAATTGATCACAAAATATTAAATGAAGAAAAAGGAAAGTCAAATCCGTTTTATGATCAGAGAAAATATCTCAATATTATTATGTAAACATACCAAATTGGGGACACGCTCAGAAAAAAAACTATAAGGGTAAATCAGGTATAAAATATTTTTTATTAGGCATAAGTGGATATTTTGTAGTATTATATAATAGAATATATACGTTTTATGTAATTACTTCATTGTACCAATCCTCTGTTTGGTACAAAGGAATTGGCAGGGGATGGAAGAAGGTGGGTGGGATTGGCTATCCTTGGGCCCACCAAAATTTAGTCCTTTCATTCGTGGACGGATCGCGAGGGAAAGTGTTTTGTTTTTATAATTACTAAACTACCCTGAGTCATTTATATTATTCTTTTCTAAATTTAATTCTTTTCACATTATTTTCCTAAAAAAAAAAGGTTGTTTGTAATCAATAAAAATCCTAACATCACCACTGACGGTAAAATTATATCACAAAAAAAGTAATACATTATGTGCATTATACACACACATGTATATACACATTTGTTAATATACTGTATAATTATTGATGAGAAAAAAATACTGTATACGTGTGGATATATATATATATATATATAAACAATTTATATTAACTTTTTAACCGTTTATGGATTTACAAAATTAAATTAAAAATTTAAAAATAAAAAAATAAAAAGCAAATCTAATTATTTATCTATTATAAGGGTGAGTCTGTAATTTTATTAATAAAATTAAGATCTCATTCACTTTGTGAATTTAACTTTTTAATTTGAGTTGAGATTTGATATTTTTTAAAAATTTTTAATTGTAGTAAAAAAAATTAAATGTGATATTTTTTAAAATTTTTTTATTTTATTGTAAAAATTTAAAACTAAAAACTGATGCCTAAATATTTCTTTCTTTCTTTTTTTCTTAATACCAAACAAGAGAATGGACAATTACAATCTTTTCTTTCTAATTGTATTATTATACGAAATAATTTTGAAGAAATTCTCGATCCTTCTCTTTCTTCTCACTCTCCTTCCCACCCTTCCATCAATAAATTCCTCCTATCAAATGGATATGTTAATAAATTCAGCAATTTTCTTTGTTGTTGTATTTTAGCCAAATGATCGATTGCTCATTTAACTTTTAAGGTTCCCAATTTTACCCATCTTATATCACGTTATGTTGGCCATAGCTGCTTCTTCTTCTTCTTTTTCATGTTTTCTTCGGATCTTCCTGCTACTCCCATGGCGACGGGGACTAACCTACGGCGGCAAGGTGACGGATCTCAGATCGACATCACGATCTCCGTTCGCGAGGTCTCCTGCAAATGGTACCTACCGTCTGGAGATCAAGATTGGCCGCTGTAGAAGATCCCCAAGCACCGCCCATTTTCCGTCTCACACAACGTATACCTTTTTTATTTTTTATTTTTTTGGCTCGTAGGCCATCACTTATCGCCATGGTCTTGACCGTTAGTTTATTAATCTCAATTTATAACTGATTTCATCACTAATCGACTGCGGTCTGTAACTGTAACTGATCGATTAAAATTCATCTTTTTGAGATTTTTAAGTTTAAAAACGGTCATTACATTTAGTTTGAGTTCAGAATTAAGATTTATAATTTTAATTTTTAAAATTAAATTTTTTTTAAAAAAAAAAAAATACTGTAAAATTTCATCACTAATCGACGATTGATTAAAATCTTTTTGAGATTTTTAAGTTTAAAAACGGCCATTGGACTGATTTTAGAAAAGATGGGTCAACCACTTAAATGAAGCTTATGAATAAGCCATTTAGCTCATATCCCTTAATTATCAAAATTGCTGTAAAAAAAAAAAAAAAGTTGCATTTTGTATTAATTGCTTTTAGAGTCTTTTCCCACAAAATAATTTAACCAAACACTTTGGTTGAAATTCATGCATAGAGGTTATAACAGCAATCTCAAATTTAGGGATTAACGGTATGTTTTTGTTATGTTGATATGCTAGCTGTGTTAGAAATAACTATGCCTAAAATCAGGTTGGTGTTTACTAAATTTTATTTTAAAATCCGCTTTAAATGGATACGCTTGTGTATATAAACTAAATAGTCTAAAAATATTTAAAAAGTTATTTTTTCTAAAATTGAAAAACATATGAAGCAGTGTTTTTCTATTATTTATTTTCTTTCAGGGATAATTTAAATAGGTAGATTTGAGATACCTTTGTATTGCTTCACAATTGTTGGAAAATAATTTTAACAATCTGCTCAACAAAAGTAGGTTTTACCAAATTCATAAATTGTTTTTAGATTGTTTGACAATCTAAAAGCAGTCATCTTCTTAACAGACGAGAAAAAGAAACTTTACGAGAATAACACAAATGTAATTTTTCTTTCTTTACTGCTGAAAAAAAAATAATGTTTTTAAGTACATTCACAATTGAATATTTGTTTCCATCTATGCTGAAAACGTTCGTATAAATACAAAGAAAAGGTTACAGATTCGTTTCCGTGACAGTATAATTGTCAACATTGACGAGTGAAAAAACTCACCACTCTTTCTCCAATAAATGAGTATTGGTTCATGGACAGCCTCTGTGGACCATGAACATAGTCAGTGTGAAAAATTATGTCCATAAAATTGCGGTTTTCGGTGGACAAATCTTCTGTTTCTCAACAATATCAGATGAGTCTTGCAACTGAGCTGTCGATTCGGGCTAGTATGACTGGATCTGAATCAGTGCTCTGCTGAAAATTCCTCGCCACAAGTAGCCAGTCAATTCCCATTGTTCTCTTAGACGGAAACTTTGCGGTCCGAAAGGAGGTATAAAACTCTTTAAGTCACTTTTTACCATCGAGAATATGAATTTCCATGAGTCTTCCAGTTATCCCTGTAGTTCCGTCTGGATGAGCTTCTCTCAAATGGAGAGCTCTGGAAATCGGAGCTTCTGAAATTGCTGCTTCCAGGACTCTGAGCATCTGAATGTCTTCTGTGAGTGCTGCTTCCTTTTAGATCTTTTCTCAACTCCTCGTCGATATCATATTGTGAGCGCTGTTATCGAAAAAAAAATGGCAGATCAAAATAGCGCAAAAGTGGAGCATCTGATCATATCACACAATGTAAAAGATGGAGATTTCTGTAATCATATATGCATTCAAAATTTCAACTTTTCCATAAGACGGATTCAAGTCAAAGAAAGGATGAAGACAAGTGCATAAGTGGGAATTATAAATGTCTGAAGGCGCAATCATCACTAGAAAGACAAACCTTATCGGGGTCTGAAAGCACTGCATATGCCTCTCCGATCATTTTAAAAAGCCTATCAGCATCGTTGTGAATCTCCTGGGAGATTTCCCTCCAAAGTTGCCTCTCATCTCCACTATCAGTTCTTGCCAGGAACTGACCGGCCTGAATATCCAAGCAAAGTGATGAGTAAATATGACAAAACAGAAACTTTTGTACTGAATAATTTATAAAAAAAAAAAAGAGGCCACAGTATGAAAGCTAAACCTTGTCCGGATGATGTTTGAGAGCTGCTTTACGGTACGCCTTCTTGATGTCAGCACTTGTGTCAGTTGGTTTACTACCCCTGCCATTAAGATTTATTGCAAGTGTCGTAAGTTCAAGCAATATTAAAACGTTGAAACTCCAGAACTCAACTGACTTTAACCGAGTGTTGCATGTAGGGACTACATTCAGGACATGATAAACACTAAGGGTGTATTTATTAAACTGTAAAGGAATGTAATGGGAAAGGAAATAAGATCGTAAAGGAAAGTAAAGTAATGGGATTAAGGAGTCATTCATTCCCTTTCATGTGTTTACTTGACTATTACATGGTGTAATAGGAAACAACCCCATTCCCTTTCTTATGTTCACTAAACTTAAAAATAACAATGTTATGAATGTAATCACTAAAATGTCCTTTTACACAATTATATAATCACACTATATAATAATTCATTATAGGTAGATAAGTAAATTTAGCATTCATTCTTTTTGATGAGGAAGCAATACTATAGAGGGTGTAAGGATTGGTATTCCCTTTTCTCATTCCCTATATTGTGTCGGGCCCACTAAATCCCCATTACTAATATTGTAAGTAAACACATTATTAAATGGGAAAGGGAATCACTCCTTACTTCTCCTTTTCCTTTGATGCAAAGTAAACATGCCCTAAGTTTCAATAAAGATTCAATCTCGCAATAACCCTAAAGAGAAACTGTAAAACACGGCACATTCTCAGACACCAAGATGTAGGGTCAAGAGAGAAGAAAATAGAATCGAGATAGAGAAACAAAACCATTAGGGATTTCATAGACCAATAGATAGTAAAGGGAGGATTATAAAGAGAACAAGAACTCTGTAACGAAGAAATCAGAAATATCAATACACATTCATCAACTAAGTCTGAATTGAAAATAAAATCTCTAAGCTATGTACAGAGTTAAAAATACCAACAATGAGACAAACTACTAAATCCTAAGTAATCGTAATAGATAAACGTAATCTTAAATTCAAAATTAAGTATTTAAATAATAACTTCTAGATACTTAAACGCCTAAAAACTTACAAAATGCGGTAGAAGTCCAAGGATACTCCTTTCTTAGCTTCTTCTTCCATTACGGAGAAACGCGTTTGAGCTTGCCTTAATTCTTTTACAATGCCCGTGGATCTACCTGAAGAGCTGCATTCTTTGGCCTTGTCACAAGATTGGCTTTCAAGAATCGATAGGAGTCTCTTGAGGGCACTAGCTGCCTCGCCATAGTCTCTAATCATCTCATGTAAGGTGGCTCTCCTGGAGACTGCCTGTGCAAGGGACATCAGGCGCGCGCGCGCGCACACAAAAGAAAAAAGATTTAGATTTTGTTCCTAGAGAAGCTGAAACTACTTATAACAACAAAAGATGCTAATTAAGCAAAGGAGGAAAAGGGAAAAACTTGAAAGAAAATAATATCAAGAAACAACATGATGTCACAGAAAGCATGTAGCATAAATGGTGAGCTGTTTGACTTTTTATTTTCCAGAGCTGTTTGAACTTTTAATATGCAGAAGATTTTGTCTTATTTGGACATGTTACGAGAGAATATACAAGCAAAGGGATTTTGATAAGCCTTTACTCAGGCAAGTTTACATTAGGAAGAGTAAGAAGACTTAAGAGGAGTTAGAAGTTTGTTAAGCAAGATTGTTAGTTAGCTTGTTGAATAAGATTGTTGGTTAGGTTGTTATGAAGCTTGTTATGAAAGATTGTTAGTTAGCCTAGTTAGCTTGTTAAGAAAGTTTAGGGATGAGAATAAAAGGAGGAGGACACGGTTAGAGGTAGGAAAGGTTTCAGTAATTGTACAAGGGAAAATCTTGGAAACATTTCCAATTAGGGGAGGCCACGGACCCTCGAAGTTCCGCAATTTGTTGTAACTTTCAGCAATTGTCTATACAGATTCTTCCTTCTTCTTGTCTATCAAATTCTGTTCTACTTTTTGTTAGTGTATCTGTCAAGGTTCTATCAGATTTCTGTTTAGTAATTAGACATCGCCTATTACGCTGCTTAATAGCAGTTGAGTAACTAGAAGTTTACAACTTGCCTGCAAATTTTTCATGAGCTTTACATACTAGATATTAGTTATAATCAAATAAAGTAAAATTAGAATTACATATGGCTATTTGTCAAACTGCAGTAGTTCCTTTTCTTTTTTTCTTTTTTCTTTCTTTGTTGGTTTTGGTGGGGGCGGGGTGGGGGGTCGGAATAATTCAAAACACACAAAGAAAGAAAAACAAGAATCATAGTTTTGCCCTCGGATTAGAAACTAGCAAACAAGAAGACTGCGCATATATAAAAAAGAAGAGGATTATTTTCATAAATGCCTCCCGAACTATGTACCTTATTTCAAAGTGCAACCTGATTCTTCTAAACCGTTCAAAACACCCCCCGATCTATAGAGAATGATTCAGAATGCCACCTCCGTCCAATACCGTCTATACTCTTAACAGATTTACTTACATGGCATGTTATTAAGAATTAATTAAAACCATTATGTATTAAAATAACAATTAAATTCGATTAAGTATTAAAAATAACAATAAATCAGATGAGCAAAAAATAAAAAATCCCTCGATAAATAACAATAAAAAAACTTTCAAAAAAAAAAAAAAAATTTATACGCTCTCCTTTTCTCCTCCCTCTTCTGATCTCTCTTTCTCTTCTCTCTCTCAAGAACCCAAATGCATCTATGGGTATGATCAATTTCTGTTTCAAACGCAAAAAATCAAAAACCCAAACATTACAAACTCAATAAAATCACCAGAGTCAAAGGGTAGGGTCGTGAGTGGAGGCGGCGGCAAGGCCTAGGTTCTCAAGTGGATGAGGGGCTTGAGTTCCACCGTGGTGAGAGGAGATGGGTTGCACAAGGGTCAGGGCGGAGGGTCTCATGGGTGGCTGTGTTAGAATGAGATTAGATCTGGTGTGGGTTTTTGTTTAACAAATCTGGGTATGTTTTTTTAAATCTGGGTTTTTTGTGTATTTCTCTAAGGAAGGACAACGCTTTCCCGATCTTCTTATTGTTGTTTTCCTTGTCCATGGCGTCGTCATTTTTGCGGCTAAAGAGTGAAGAGGTTGTACGAGATGGTTATGCCAACAGAGAGAAAGTGGAAAAGCTCTCAGCTTAGATGAACTTTGGTTGCTTGTGAAGGGAAAAGTGGGAGAATCATCAAGAACAGAGAAAGTAGAAGGGCTTGGCAGAGGAAATTGTAGTGGAACTTTGGTGAATTGTCTTGAGTTTTTTGGTCTGAAAGTTGCTTTTTGTTGGGGTTTGTTGTAGGATTTAATGGCTGCCATTGATTTAGACGGAGATGAAGAGTGGCTTCCATTGATTTAGACGGAGATGATGAGAATTTTTTCATATTGTATTTGATTTGATATATAGAATAATTGGTTTTTATTAGTCAAAATACCTTCCATAACTTTTAATACTCATTTTTAAGTGCCACATGTGCATTTTCTGTCCAAATGATACACGGAAGTGGACGGAGGGGCAAATTTGACCTATTTTCTACATATCAGGGGGTGTTGAACTGTTTTACAAAATAGGGGGCACTTTGAAACAAGGTACATAGTTTAGAGGCATTTATGAAAATAATCCAATAGAAAAATAGGAAAAAAAAAAAAACTAATAAGATGCACATAGAGTACTGCACAGGAAAATGCAAAATATAGTGGCATACCTTTGCATAATTTCCATCTAGGGCTATAGCTAGACTGCAGTCAGCAATTGCATCAGCAATTTGACCTAGAGCTTGGTGTGCCGCAGCGCGATTACAAAAACAGATAGCTGCAAATCGACGTGATTCAACATTGCTGGATAGAGCAGCAGTGTAATGGTCCACCGCTTCTGCATATTTTCCCAATTTAAATGCTTCATTTCCTGCATTCTTTTATACACAAGTAAAAATGTAAACTTATTTGATGGGAAGAAATAAACGAAAGATAGTTGAAAAAGTTCTTTTGTAAATGCTAGAGAAAAAAGGAAATTTGAACATGTAAGACAAAGGACCCAGAATTCTCCATTTTTCCAGGCATTGCCATGTCTGTGAGTAGAATTGAGTTTTCAATAGCGAATCTGTCTTGTGTTTCTACATCTTTACTTGAGGGACGAAACTCGGCTAACTTTTAGTATCGATCACTTATATGTTTTTGGTATTTTTAGTATCGATCACTCATATCGTAATTTGATCTAAGTATCAATCACTTAATTCTAGAAAAGAAAAAAAAAGGGTACTTATGATCTCAACTTTTCAACTCTAAGGTTTATGATCTTCAATGTATGGTATGATGTACCTCGGTCATTATCAGTCACTTGAACTCAGATGGATCATTTCCTAACCATAACTTGACAGATGGAGATAGTACTTGAAGGTGAAAACAATTATCTTGACAGAGACTGATATTGAACAATGTTGCCAGTTGCTTCTACTCTTCTGCTTTTACATATGGGCAAGGAAAGGAGGGGGAAAAAAAAGAACTTGCAGCATATTCAAGAAATGTGAAGTTTATGTGAAATTGGAAACTTCACATTTGATTTAATAGTAGTGGAGCAATGCACACTGAAATTGTCGTTTAGGCAGTAAGACAGAGACTAATAAACTGAATCCAAGAATAATTTTACAAAGAAAACAAAGAGGTTACCTTATGATGTAAAAGGTCACGAATAGTGACAGCCAAAGAAGTTGATGCCTCCAGATTCTTACATGCAGACCTGAGAAGACAAAATTATTAGAACTAACCTTGGAACTTTCAATACAAAAGGTTTTACTTTCTTTCTTTCTTTTTATTTTTGTTATTTTTTTTAATTCTCCTGTTGAGAACACACTTAGTAATTAGCCATTGGTTTTAGTTCTCGAGCGTATTTAGCGCTGTTGTTTTATAGTATTAATTAGTCCAATTTACCATCTAAATTTTCTGACAATAACTTACAAGCTTTTTACCCTAATTATCTACATCCCCTGACTGGGAGAAAGGATACGAAAGGATACCCTAAGTGCTTCTAGAGTATCACTACTTACCCATCGTTAATTGATCTAACTTTGGCCAGCTTATCAAGCAGAGGAAGAGCAGCCTCAAGCCTTCCCAAATGAAAGTAAGACTTGGATATCAACCACCACCTCCAGAGCCTTGCAAATGAATAACTTTCATTTGAAGAACCATCTATATCTGCTAATGCATTCACGGAGGCAAAATTCTTTTCAACAAAAGATAGACTCTGCTCACACAGCTGAATCGCTTCTTCAGGCCGCCTCAACTGCAAGATACGATATCAACAGTAAAGAAGTCAATGCTGAGATCAAAATTCAAGGAAAATGCAGACATCAACCACTGCTAAATCGCAAACCAAGTACTTAAAGTTAGTCACATTAATCAATGAGGTACGGACCATAATAAGAGCCTCTCCCTTCATTTTAAGTAATTTTTCAGAGTATAAACTAATTGATAAGGCTTCAGAGATAATTTCCAAGGCATTGAGAGCTGCATCAGGATTTTTTTGTTCCAAAAGTTTAGCAGATTGATGTATACACTCAATCACTTTCTGTAAAAAACAAACCACGAAAACAGTCATCAGATCAAAGGTACACTCTACCATAAACGTAAATGCATAAGTAATCGGCACATCTATAGCATATGAATGGAAAAGCCTTTATTTAGGACTAGCAACGGAGGTGGCTAGTAGAATGAGAGATATTCTCTCTTTAAGTCAGGTAGGGTTAAGTCAGCAATTCAGCAGATAAAACACAATAATAAAAAAGAAGATGACCTATAAGCAGTTGGTATTTAATCAAACAAAAAATTATTACCAAGATATGACTACATCAGCATACAACAATACAACAGAACATAAAAGCAGTACCTGAGCCTTCCGTTGGCCATCAGCAGCATCAATTATGATTCTTCGGTCCAAACACACACCAGCTCCAGTTTCAAAGCAATTCTTAAAGCACTGCTGTGCATTTTCAACATCCCCCAGCAAAAGATGACAACTGTAACTCACAAAAAAATACATATTTAGAAGACATATAACGTTTCATAATACAAAGAGGCATTAAGGGAAAGGAGAATAACAATTGCAAAAATTAAAACTACTTTTACATGCATAAGAAACACTTGGAGTCCTTAATGATGTATTTACTACTAAATATCAACCCACACATTAAGTTCCCCTTTTGGCAGGTGTCTGATTTTGTTTGCTCAAATTCCTGTCACTAGCACGTACTTTTTAAAATGACAGGTAGTCATATATTTTCTAGACTCACTGCTCATAAGTCTAGAGTTGGGGTCTATTAGTCGTATTTGGGTTTTTACCATGCTTTTTCGTTGTCTTTTCCTTGTGTACTTTTTTTATTTTTTTTTATGATTAGGTGTAAATTAGATCTTTACCATTTCCTGCTATGTATGAATCCAGTTAGAACTAGAATGCCTGAAGGCCTACATGGAAACCCGATTGAGACAATCTGCAAATTTAATCATCTCAGCTCAACATGACTAGGTGCAAGCTCTACTCGCATTAAGGAACACAAGTATATGTTGCTTGAAAGGCAAGAAAATGAATCGTATACCGTCTCTATGCACAATTCTAAGGTAGGTAACTTCGTCCTGTAGACATAAAGTAAGAGTATAGATGCCTTACTTTGCAGCTCTTATATGAACTTTAAGAAAGTTGGGATCTAGGGCAGCAGCCATCATGCAGTCACCGAGAGCTTCCCTTATCCTTAGAAGGCACATGCGGGCTGCTGCACGGTTGCTATAGCAGAGCAGAAGAGGTTTAAGACAGGTGCCTGATCTGTCACTTGAAGGTAAAGAAATTATCCCTTGAGTGTAAAATGCCTCAGCTTTTGGAAGGTCCCCGTTTTTATAAGCTTGGTTTCCCCTGATAAAAATCAAATATTTAACCATGTAACAACATTAAGAATGATCACGAAACTATAAAATAAATAAGTAAAGGAAACCATAGCTGCAAAGCCAATAATTCAAGAAACACATCAATGATAAATTAGTTCAAAACGGAACAGTAGTTCTTAAAAATGAGCACCTGAGTCGCCACTTCTCACAGGTTTCCTGAATTTCAGCTGAGGAAGAACTGCGCCCTTCCATGAACTGTTTGCCTGCTTCAGATTTGTCCATTGCATTGGGAAGCGAAGATACGCTGCTAAGGGGTGAAGATTGCACAGAAGAAGATCCAACCTTAACAACTTCACTCCTACCTTTTCTTATATACCGACGCTTTCTAGCCAGTAATCTCCCTTTCCCAGAAGATGTAGCTGAAAACGTAAAATCCGCCCCCTTGATATCTTCCACACCTGAAGTAAACTGAAGCCCAGATGCATTTTCGGTGACAATGAACTGCATTCCAGAAATGTTTTCTTTATTTTCTATGTTTGAGCTAAAGACACCTACGGATTCTACCGAAGCCACACTAGCACCACTGTGGCCATCCGCTTGTGCCGTTTGGGCAGTAGAACAGGCAAAGTCATGCACAGAAATTGGTGGGCACTTCTGATTACAGGAACTTTCACCATGGTACCCAAGATTTTCCTCATTTGGCACTTTAGTACCCTGATCACCTCTATCACTATCTAATCCTTTTCCTTTAGTTACCAAATCTTCCTCTTTAGTATCAGCCGGAACTGGTGCATCTGATGCAGGGGTTCCATAACTACTGTCTATGGGGGACGACCCATCTGATGCTGCAGAACTTTCTCTGGAAAATTGATCGTTCACAGTAGCATCCCGATAGGGAGATAAGTCCATTGGGGAGTAACATCCGGAAGTGTTTGGGTAACTGCTTTCCTTAGAGGCATGATCTCGGTCACGCCATTGCTTAACCAAAGGTTTTCTCAACTTACGCTTTGTTTCCCTCAATCTTTTGTCCTCAATTGACCCGTTCTTTATAGTGAATTCCAGTTTACTACCTACTTCAGGAAATAGACTTTCCTTAAGAGAGACAGGATCACATAATGGCGTTTTGAAATCTGTCAAGGGAGAATTTCTTGTATCCTTTTTCTCTACTCCAACAAAAGCTGCTTCAGAAACACTAGGTTGGAACTCATGACAATTAGATGAGAACGAAGACTGTGAGAAAGCTACATTGGGTTCTGCAGGATCAGTTGCTTCGCATTTCCGAAGCTGGCCAAACTCAGCACTGACCCCTAGCCCTCCCAGAAATATAAAAGGTTCAGATTTAGAGGTACCCGAAACATCTGTTGTGTTGTCGTTACGAGCACTTCCAAATACGAAATGGCTCTGTTCACTACTTCCAGAGATATTCCCATCAGTTTTCTTTACATCAACACAAGGACCTTTAGAACTGTTAGAAGAGATATTACTACTAGAACTGTTAGATACTTTGCTACATCCTCTAGAAACCTTTATATATCTTCTAGACTTGGATGCAGCCCCAATATTGGAAAACAATTTCGTCTTCAAATTTTCAGTTCTCTCAACACCAGAAACATTCACAGAATCATCAATGTTCAGTTTCCTCATCTCATCAGGAAGCCTATGTTCTGCACTTGTGCCAGAAACACTAGCGCTTCTAGCGGCATTATCATCGCTTTCAGATGGATATTTACATTTAACACTAACATTCGGATCCTTATTATGTACTTGTGTATCTACAGAGCTATTAAAACTCGCAAAATTTTCTTCCGTGCGTTTATTCGAACTAAATCCCGTCCTACTCCCGCTTCCAAATAGAAATACACCAGCATCGTTGTCCAACTTCCACTTCTCATTAGGATCCACTTCACCAGCGGCTCCTACTTTCTTATTGAAGCCACTCTTCTCCGAACTCGAATTCGATTCGGAGTTAAACCAACTGGCACCAAACACAAACTCCGAACAACTAGACTTCCTAAACTCAGTTTCCTGACCTATTTTCACATTGGTAGAGCTACAAAAACCTGACTGCTCAAAACTTTTGTTAAAATCTACATTACCATTCTGATTAGCTCCGAACACAAAGGCCAGATTTTCACGCTTTGTTCGCTCTGCCTCCGTCTCAAGCTTCCTCTTATCACTATCCTCAGAGCTCGAATCCTTTGCAAATTCACAACATTCAGCCTTTTCCCGATCGGAATTCGATCCTAATCCACTCCGATTACAACCAAACACAAAATCCCCACCAAACTTTCCAGATTCCAGTTCGCACTCTGTTTTTGTATCTCCCTTCTCCTCAGACACCACCTCTTTCGCATTGTCAACAAACCGTTCCTTTTCTGCACAAGAATTCGATTTCACACTATTTTTCTTAGCCCCAAACACAAACCCTACACTCTCCACCTTCGCAGACTCCATTCCCTTTCCGTTATTAAACATCACCGTCTCATCAGATTTCCCCTCCCCATTCTTGCCATCCGAAGTCTCTCCCAAACCGCCCCGATTAGCACCAAACATAAAACCCCCATTCGCACGATCACCATTCTCACAAAACGGATTGAAACCCGATCCTACCACGGTCGAAGTGCCACTTCTCGACCTCGGATTCTGAGCCTCGACATGCCTCCTCACCTTCACGAGCCGCGGCCTCGCCCTCCATGTTGCCGCCGGTCGCGCAGAATCGGTAGCACCGGACGCAGCGGCCTCGCCTAAACCCGAAAAAAGGTTAGTGAAATTGGGCAACGAGGTCGGCTGCGACTGAGCCATGGAGTTAGGGTTTTGCAGAGGGGCCGATTGCTTGGGCTGCGGTGAGTCAATCGGCGACCCAACTTCCACCGCCGGCGGCGACATTCGCCGAGAACAAGAACCAGGTTAGGGCGCCAGAAGAATAGGAGAAGTAAGTGCAACAAGGAAACACGTGGGTTTTGCGTGTGTAGAGATATGTGTGTATCTATATGTGTATGTTTATGTATGTGTGTATATATATGTTCCGTTCTGGGTTTTGCTTAGTTGAGAAGCGTAGAAATGTGGCAGAAATGAGAAACGAAGAAAGAAGCGTTTTCTTTCATTTTGAGTTTTTAAAGAGTATTTGAACGGTACATTTCTACGCTCCCAAACTAGGCGTCGTGGAGTTTTAAACTTGGTGACGTGGTGGGAATTTCTTTCTTACTTTTTGTTTTTTGTTTTTTTTTTATTATAGGAATTCTTACCGTTTTCTTTTTTTAGGAATTCTTACCGTTATCTTTTTTTCTTTTTTCCCTGCTTTCATGAAATGTAAAAAATACATTTAAAATAACGGTTATTAAATTTAAAGTGTAGATAATAAAAGATAAAAAGAACTTAAAAAACACTATTGCAAAATGTTTCATGACTTAAGGTTAAATTTATAAGAATTATAAACAAATAATACATTTAAAAATAAATTAATTTAACAGGATAATTTAAATAATAGTATTCTAAATAACCGTAAAAAAAAATTTTTAAATTAGATATATTTGTAAATATATAAAAATTAAAAGTTAAAAATTGAAAAAAAAAATAAGGGAGAAAAAAATAGAAAGAAAAGCTAAAAAGAGAAGAAAAAAAGTGAAAAAAGTATTAAAAAAAAGTGAGGATACCCAAACGCCTCTGAAAAATCCTAGAACTCGTTTGGTTCATGAATTAGAACTATGAGATTAAAATTATTTTTGATTTACGTGTGTTTTTTATGAGAAAAAATATTATAGTGAACCATAAATTATGATTCAAATCAGATAACGAATCCTCCAACCAAACGAGCTCTTATTTTTACTTAGAGACAAAGTATATATATATATATATCTTTTAAAAATTAATTATCAGAACACCACATTTATACATTATAGTTTAGCATGCCCTAAAATTTTTTTCTTTTAAAAAAAGTTCATTTCATCTCTTTAATTACCTCTTGAACTGATTCATTGGTTAATTTGAATATGAAATGGTACGGTTAGATTTAAGTGAAGGGTAATTGGCCAACTGGCATAAGTAACCGGTTGCACATTTTAATATTTTATTTATTTATTTTCGTTTGACAGAAGAGTTTTGGGCAAAACGCCCGTCGTTTTTGGCCTAGTTAACACAACAGCAGGA